AGGCTCACGTGACTTCCGTCTTCGCTTGCCGGTACACGGCCCTCCGATAACCGCCGCCGCTTCGTTGATCCTCCATATTTATCTGCCGCCTTACCGCCGCACACGCGCACCCACCAAAACACGACACAGATAACCGAACGCGGGCCTCTGCATGGCCAATAACCGTAATCTCGTAACACGATTTTTTTTCCCTTTCCTCCCCTCCCTTCGTGTCGTTTCGATGTCACGGGCGGAAGCTCCAAGGACGACGGTTGAACGTCGCCGATGAATCACCTCCGACTCCTCTCTCTTTCTTCTCGTTCTACATTCTGGATGAAATTCCCGTATCTCGGGAATCATTTTTCGAAAACAATCCGAGGAAAAATATTTCGAAATTCATTGTTTTATCGCTCCGAGAAATAACCGCGAAATCGGCGTATCAACTCCCACGCAGATATGCAGATATCCGTTAAGACCAGGGCTTCGAGGCCCCCCCCTTCTCCCCTCCGTTTAAACGCGATACATACGTTACATCGATCGGAACGTTTTTCAAGAGGAGCGTTACGATCTTTCCCTTTCGATCTTCGCGTTTTAAAAACGTTTAATATCGCGGCCACCGCGCGTTTAACGTGCGTGTGCTCGATCGAGACTCGGGGGCTTCAGGGCCGTAATTCAAGCAGCCACTTCAGAGGCAACGGAACGGCCGCAACAATGGCCGTAACTGTAGATTCGAGGTAACTTTACACTCTACGAGTCCATTTTCTCGTTGCCCGCTTAAGCCCGCTGCAACGTTCGCGCCCTGTCGAGGAGGCCGGGTCGAGAAAAGAGGGGGTCGATCGCGACACGTGTTCGAATTTCCCTTAACGGCCGCTTCTCCACTCTTCTGGGCCCACCCCGCGTGCCAATTACCAGGGACTGGTAACTCGAGATACCGAGTCTCGTCGTCGTCGATCCAACCGAATCACGATGCTCTCTCGCGAGTTAAGGGAGACGGGATCGTTAAGCAAGTATCGTGGGACGTGAGATTTTGCGCGGAAACGGATCCAACGGTCGCGTTGTATCCTACAAGCGTGCATTTGTACGTATGATGGTGATATATGACGGTAATGGTTTTATCTCGAGTCGAGATTATTCCTCGAGGAGTGCGAGAGGAATAAATATCGTATTTTTTAAACAGTTTCACAAGAGTGGAAATTCAGAGAGCGAATAAACATTTTAACAATAATATTGCAGAAGTTGGGTCCATCGAGCGTTTAAAAGCATCGAGAGAGAGAGAGAGAGAGAATATCATCTTCCGCTCAAAATGATAACAATTACAGGCGCGCCTCGCCGGAAGGAAGCGTCGTAATAAGTTCTTACTTCGCGCAGCCTCGTAAAGATTAAAAAGGGGACGAGAGAGGAGGGAGGAGTGGGGGAAGGGTCAAGGTGAGATAAAGCAAAATTAATGGCAGACCTAAATCCCCGTCTGTGGATCTCCTCGCGAGTTTGCCGGAAGAAAGAAGCTCGGCTGAATTTACGTGGCCGTGGGCCAACGTAACACGAGCATCGTTAATTTAAATTATTATCGGACATGGATTCACGACACGAAGCCGCCCGCGACGATTACTGCGAGCAAATGCGCGTGAAATAGAATCGAGTTAGTCGAGGTATACCACGTCGTGTGTACACGTTTCCTATGGCGACGATCTATGGGCGAAAGATTGAAGATCAATGACGCAGCGTATAAATGTACGCTGTAGTAATTTGTGTGTGTTATTGAGAATTAGAATCCGTATTGTAATATTATGTCGACTTCGAGGAAAGTTTATTACGGTACAGATGGGGGATTAAAAGTTAAAATCCAGATAAATATTTATTTTATACCTGAATGTTTCGGGTTGAACGTTTTAGAAAGAAGGTATTACGAAGAGGATTAAATTAAATTTTAACGAAGAAGATTAATCTTCGATCTTTCGCGTATCGTATTTTCCTAGGAAATTCTATTGAAATCGATACGTAACGTCTCCTGTAAATATTTCCCTCGCAAGTTTCTCGAGAGGAACGAGATCGGCGTAAAGATCGGAACAAACTTTCGAAACGTTCTCGGTGCGTGGCGACGCGTTAAATTAACATGCATACTTTTCCATTAATAATATATCCTGGATATAGAGAGTCGGTGACACTCGTTTCAAGCGATTACGCAATCGAAAATTGATGATTTTGCGATTAATCTCGGATTTCCTTCGTGCTCGTCAATCGTTATTATACGAATTAGGAAAAAATTATTGTTCAAAATTTCAATGAATGAACGAATCATCGCGTAATAGTTGGTTGAAACAATGGCAACATTTCCTCGTTGCGAAACTTTTTACTCGTCGAATAAGTTCTCTCGCTATATGAATTGCACACACGAGAATATCGAAAGTATGCCTTTCACGATTTATCAGTGACCTGAACCGGTTACTCGAATTCTAAATCATGCCATCTTCTAATCGCACAAAAAGTGAAAATCTTTTCGAGGATTCTTGTAACGAGCTTCATTATCGAAGAAATTAGAATTGTAAAAGAGTAATCTCAAGGTTGAAATTTACGAATAAAATGATTCGATAGTTTGATTCGAAACGAACGGTAGTGTAAGTGGCAATAGCCACGCGAATCACGTACCATGCCCTCGTCTATCGAGGTGTCTTCCTCGAAGTAGGACTCGTCGGGCTCATCCGGTGTCAGAGCGGTAGGAGTTTCCGGTGACTCCTCCTTAATGTCCTGCCTTCTCATCCAATCCATCTTCAAATCCCTTTCGAGCCTTTGAGCGACCGGTCAAGCTGATGCTTCTTCTCGATCCTATTCCTTACTCGTTTCGACGCGAGATCACATGTCTCCCTTGAAATCGATCGGATATCACAACAGCGAAGGAAACAACCGCGATATTCGTGTGTGCGTGCGTGTGTAGCGAAAACAGAAACACTCAACTGTAACCGCTTTTTCTTATCGTTTATCACGAGCCACGATTCGATTATGTGGAAGCCACTCCGCCAGAGACTACCGCTGACATTTGCCAAATGTCAAAGTTTTTCTGATCGATCGCGTAATATATTCCTGGAACTAACAAGATGTCGAAATTTCGATGTGATACCGGGACCACGAATGCACGTGCACCAATCGCGTATGCTCCGAAAAAATCTTACTTGGAAAAAATTTGTTCACTGGGTATATCACTGGCGATGAACTTCGTTGGAGAACAATATCGATACGGTTTTTGGAAAATTTGAAAAGTTTTCCGAAATTTCGTTCACGAACATTGACGACGATGATCCGATCGATAGTCACGATTCCTTTTACACGATAGTCACGAGGACTGGCTCGATCTCAGTAGTACACGACACTCTCTTGTCGAGAGGAAAAACTTACACGCTATACGGTTCGATATCGAGAAGAGAGCGCGTCGTTAATACACACAGCGTACCGGCGAAGAGATGATTGCGAGCGAGAGATGGACGCGCGCGCAGTCTCGCATGTGCACACGAG